TGTAGTGGCCAGGTGTAGTGGCCAGGTGTAGTGGCCAGGTGTAGTGGTCAGGTGCAGTGGCCAGGTGTAGTGGCCAGGTGCAGTGGTCAGGTGCAGTGGCCAGGTGTAGTGGCCAACTGTAGTGGCCAGGTGTAGTGGTGTACACACACTCAGAGGAAGCCTGGGCTACATAAGACCTTGTCCAAAAGCAAACAAACAAGCAAAGAAACAATGACAAAAATGGAGGAAAATCGGTAGAGAGAGAATTGAAAGAAGGAAACAGACAGAAACTCAAGTCGTAACTGTCGGAGGAGGGAGCCACATCCTAGCATACCCGGATCAGGTGTCTCCCAGCAGGCCTGGCCCGGACAGTCCCAAGACTGAGACTGAGCCAAGCCATCATGACTCCCAGTTCTGCTTCCAGGGCAGTGCCCACAGGGAGGGGAGGTCTTGGAAGGGGAGGCAGCAGCAGGAGTTAAGGCCATTGTTGGCTACACTGAGTATTCCAGTACATCCTGGGCTACATAAAACCCTGTCTTAAAAACCAAAGGCAACAAAACAAAGCAAGCCATCATCTGAGTTTATTCCTGGCACTGTACATTCTGGAAAGGGGTGGAGCCCTCTGGGCTGAGTAGGCCTCAGCGTTCCCTTAGGAGTCAGTCACCTGCTTCCACACAAGTGCCAGCAACAGATCCAGAATCACTTGGAGACCGGCCTCCGGGCATGTGAGGGTGCAGTCTCTAGGCTGGTTAGCTGAGACCAGTCAGCCCATCCTGAACGACCTGAGGCAGCATTCATCTCTCTCTGCTTCTGACTGGGCCCATGTGACCTGCTGACTCTCCACGTGGATTGTATCAAGGTACTTTATCGCAGAATGCGTAGGGTTAGGCATGGAGCTCGGAGCAGAAGAAGCCTTTTCTTTCTTTAGTGGCTTTTGTTAAATAGGCAGAGCAACAATACAACTAAGACACATGGTTAATATGTACTGAGGGTCTACTTTGTACAGCTTCTCCCGTCCCTTCTCCCGTCTCTATGTTACAGATAAGGAAACTGAAGCACAGCAGCGAGACCCACTCAGTCTTGGGCCCATAGTGAGACTCCAGCCATCCCTCAATGCTCCTGGTCTTGGGCTGCTCTGAGCTCCACACATGCGAATTTCAAACGTCCACAACTCCCCAGGGAGTGTCGGGAAGTGGAGGTCTAAGACTTGAACCTTCTTCCAGGAACATGGGAGTGGGGTCCCAGGAGCTGGGAGCCAGCCCAGGCCCCAATGCTCAGGAATGAGGACCTTGGTGAGTCACAGCCCCTACTGAGGCCTCCGGCTCATCTGTTGGATGGATAGAGAATCACTGAGAGTCAGAGCCCAAGCTCCCTCCCTCCCATCTATAAAAGAACCTTTTTTGTTTACATCCTCAGACTCCCCTGTACCAAGGTCTGGTTGTTTGTCAACGTCAGCCCAGTGAGATGCAAGCAGAAGGCCCCAGGTCTCCCAGGCCTTCAGAATACCTATCCACCCCTGGCCTTTGTTACCCCTCTTAGCAAGGAGGGAAACGCTGGAGCATTGGCAGCTGTTTTGCCTCAGGAGGCAACTTTGACATAAGTCAAGGATTCTATAAACTCAGAGGGAAGAAGGCCCATGGCTACAAGAGCTGAGCTGACCTATCTCTGTGGTATCATCGTCTTGTCTTTTTGCCCCATTCCCAGTTCACACCAGAGTGGTGTCCTTTCCTGTGTCCAGTGGCCTGTGGCTCAGCATGCTATGTGTCTCATGAGTGACTCCAGCCAATTGTGTCTGGGGTTGGGGAGAAGCAGGCAGACTGCCTTCCCTGCCTCTCCCCAGGATTCTGGATGTGATACCAGTGGTCATGGGCCCAAAGGGATCCCCAGGTTCCCGGGACAGGGCATAGAGGGTCTGGCAATGGGTACCCTGCTGGGGCTGAGCCCTGCAGCCAGTTTTGGAGTCTTCTGAAGGCCGGGCTGGCTCATCTTCAAAGGCTGGTGGGGACAGCTCGTGGAGACCCCGGCGAGTGGCCCGAAGAGCCCGGAGTAGGGTGTGAGTCATTACTGCCACCAGGACCAGGGCACCTGAACCCAGGATGGATGCAGCTGCTGCCCCTGCCTCGATCTCGAAGAGCAGCAGGGTGTAAATGGCCAGTGCTGAGAAAGGAATGGCTCACTTATTCACTCAACAAACATTCACCCTCTGAGCCCTTAGGGGAGACCCCTCAAACACAGAGAACCCTGGGGCAGAACAAGCCCTTGGGGAGATCCCTCAAACACAGAGAACCCCGGGCAGAACAAGCAGATGGATCTATGGAAGACCCATCACCATCACAACCATCTCCAGATAAGAAAACCAGCCCGGGGGTAGTGGTGCACGCCTTTAATTCCAGCACTCAGGAGAATCTCTGTGAGTTTGAGGCCAGCCTGCTCTACAAAGTGAGTTTCAGGATAGCCAGGGCTATATAGTAAGACCCTACCCCCAAAACAAAAAAAACAAACAGCAAAAATGAGTAGACACACGGCTCTATGGTTAAGAGGACCTGGGTTTGGTTCCCAGCGCTGCACAATGGTTCCTGGGATTCCAGTTCTGTGCTCAGGTATCAAGCAGGCACACAGACAGATGAGCAGACAAAACACCTATAAACACTGGGTGGGGAGGGGGACACCCGAAAGTCTCCCAGCCTGGAAGAACGCAGATGTGATTTCACTAGTTACTTTTTTGCATTTGTACTGCATTTGTTCACTGTGGATGTGCAACATACCACAGGGTGCATGTGACGTCAGGGGACACCTTGGGGTAAGACTCTCTGGAAGTGTGGGTCCCAGGAATTGCTAGCAGTCATCAGTGAGCTAGTCCTGAGAATGGGGCTTCTGATTTTAAAGATTTGTCCCCCACCCCCATGCGTGTGCATGTTATAAGTGCAGGTGCCCATGGATGCCAGAGGAGGCTGTCAGCTGCCTGACAGGGGAGCAGTAAGTACCCTTAACCGCTGAGCCACCTCTCCAGCCCTTTCTGGGGGAGGCACCTCAGGGTCCAGGATTGTCTAGTGTGCCCTAGATCCTAGGTTCCAGTTACAATGCGGTTAAAGCAAAACCAAGTCCTTCCAGAGCCTGGGCTGTGACTCAGTGGGTAGAGCGCTTGCTTGGCATGCATGAGGTCATTCAGCACCTAATGAACTGGGTGACTTTGCCTATCATTCCACACTGTGGAGGCAGGGGGATCAGGTTATCCTTGGCTGCAATAGAGAGTTTGAAATATGAGACTGTATCTGCGTATCTGGGCTAGGTGAGACTGTCTAAAACACAAATTTTTAAAAAGCAAAAGTCAAAACAGGAAGGGGTTGGGGGCTGGGGGATGGCTTGGAGGTTAAGAGCATTGGTTTCTCTTACAGAAGATCTGGAATTGGCTCCCATAACCCTTGAATTTCAGAACTGCCCAAAGTTGCAGCTCCAGGGTCTCTATGGCCTCTGTGGGCACTGCACACACAGACACTACGCACGCCTGTGCTCCAAGAGTTGGGAAGTGAAAACAAGGTTGGAAATTCAAGGCCAGCCTTACAAGGCCACTTCCAGGCCCATCTAGCCTACGTGATAAATAGTAATAATGAGTATTAAAGGAGAATCCTCTGTCCATTTTAAGCATCAGGGACACTCATCACTCTTGGTTGATGAGGAAACTGAGGCACAGAACATATTCCAGAGAAAGAGCAACTGCCTGAACTCAGGCTGACTGGCCCCGAGATCTGTGTGCACCCCGCTCCCGACCTCTGCCCCCACACACCTGCTAAGTAGACGGAGGCCCCACAGCAGAACAGGCCAAGTGCAGAGTGCCTGAGGAGACGGCAGTCATAAAGAAACCAGTCTGACCTGAAGGAAGGCGACAGGAAGAGGGACAGTGACCCAGTGACACCATGCCAAAGTCTAGAGGCTGCCGACCCTCGCCCCTCCACCTGTGGACTTACCCACTCATCACCGCCGCGTACCCACATCCACCCACCTATCCATCTGCGCTCCCACCGCTGTCCCACTAGCATCAGGGTGCCATGAGAGAAAGAATCAACATGGGACAAGCAGGGCATCTCACCGCATGCCCACGGTTCCAGGTGGAGTCACCTACTTCTGCACCCCTGAGCTCAGAGGCCTGAGCAGGCGACCCCTGGCCAGGCTGCGGCAGTCTTGCCCTTCCTGAACCCCGCCGTGAGGCTGGAGTACAGCTCCGATGATTGGCATGTGCCCCCGGGATGCACCCCAAGCACCAGCGCCGGAAGAAGCGGGAGGCAAAGGCGCGCTCTCTCGAAACCTCAGTTTGCAGGTAGAGGTGGTGGCGTCCTACCTGCCTGGCCCCGGGCCGCGTGCCAGCTCGGCGCCCAGGTGTCCGCAGAGCGCGGCGAGTAGCAGGCAGCTAAGTCCAAGGACTTGTGCCAGCGCGGCCAGAGCAGTCGCCAGCGGCAGCAATGCCCCAGCCGCAGCTTCCGGTAGCCCCGCGTCCGGGTCCAGTTCCGCGTGCAGCCGGTCGGTGCGCACACCTCGCAGCTCGGCACACCCCGCCTGGAGCTGGAACAGCAGCTGTGCAGCCAGCACAACCAGCACGGCGGCTGGGATGCCTAGCAGGGTCATCGCGGTCAGTACCCGGCCTCCGTACGAGCGACCCATGATGCGGGCCAGGGATGGCGAGAAGGCGCAGGTAGTGAAAGCGCCTGCAGGCCTCCGGGGATCTTGGGGATCTTGGGGTGGGGAAGGGGCGCCACCGGGGCCTCTGGAGAGAGGTCCTGAGTGGGACGTGGAAGCTGCACGAAAATTTTGGAGAAAGTGTTTTCTATTCTGCACCGGGCGCAGATGCCGCCTCCAGGTGTGTGGCGTAGTGAGGTGGGGGAAATAGCAGAGGTGGAAGGGAAGGGGGGTCACGAGGGACACCGTGGTAAGTTAGGGGCGGGGCCTGCTGCTGAGGGGCGTGGCTAATGCTGGGCCAAGGAAGCTGTTTATTAAGCATACAACGTGCTGGGGCAAGGAAGGCACCAGGTCTCATTACAGATGGTTGTGGGCCACCATGTGGTTGCTGGGAATTGAACTCAGGACCTCTGTAAGAGCACTGGCTGAGCCATCTCTTCAGCCCCAAGGAGGCTGGCTTAAGAGGACGGGGCTCAGGGGCGATCCAACAGCAGGAGCTGAAGGGCTTGTCCTCCCCGTGAGCAGTCCGGAGTGGGGCGGGGCCTGGCTCCTGTGGAGGGAGGGACCAGAAAAGGGGATCTTGCAAGGCAGAGCTAGGAGGACTCCAGGCGCTGGGGCGGAGAGGTGGAACACAGGTGGGTTGGTCTTGGGACAGTGCCTGGATGAGGACACGTCTGGGAAAGGGAGCGGAGGGGTGGGGCAGGGGCGGGGCCTCCCGGATTATCCCACCCTAATGGGCGGGTTTAAGGCTTGGGGAAGTGGGCAGGGCCCAGGAGGCAGAAGACAACTGCAAGTTGTGGGGGGCGGGCAGCCTGGTATACATAGCTAGTTCTACGCCAGTCAGGGCTATATAGAAAGACGCTGCCTCAAAAAAAAAAAAAATTGTGGAAGGGGAGCTGAAGAGATGGCAGGAGACGGAGCTGACAGGGACACAGGCAGTGTTACAGAGCCCGAGGATGGAGATATGGGAACCCACAGGATGCCCAGGCTTGGAAACTGGACCTTTGGGTGCAATGCCAGACAGGAGCTTCCTCGTCATCCTGAGCATCGGGCTTCTGGCACATGTGTATGAGTGCCTTGCCTACATGTGTGTCTGTGCATGATGTGCGTGCCAGGTACCTATGGAGACCAAAAGAGGGAGCCATTTACAGACGGTTGTGAATCTCGTACCCCCTGAGCTATCTTACTACACTGTGTATAGATGTGAACAAAGGGGGCACATCAACGCAGGCTTGTCACCACTGTAATTCAGAGGTTTGGGCAGGGGGCCTGCAGGCACTCAGAAGACAGTCTGACCTAGAAGACATTATCTTCTAAAGTAAACAGAGGGGCTGGAGAGTGACTCAGTGATTAACAGCAGCCCAGCTCTGTTCACAGCGTGCAGGTCGGACTGCCTCCCAGCTGCTTGTAGCTCCGGAGCCAGGAGATCTACACCTTCTTCTGGTCTCTGGTCTCACCTTCACTCAAATGTACATATGCTGCCCCAAACATGTAATAAAAATTAAGTTGGGTGGTGACAGTGCACACCTTTAATCCCAACACTTGGGAGGCAGAGGCAGTGAATCTCTGAGTTCAAGGTCAGTCTGGTCTGAGAGCAAATTCCAACACAGCCAGAGCTACACAAAGAAACCTTGTCTCAAACAAAAACACAAATAAATAAATCTTGATAAACAAAATGCAAAGAGTACTTAGATATAGCTGTGTGGTAGATATGTGTATGTCAGGCTCCTGTTCCAGTGTGCAAGTGTGTTGTGTGAGCTGGTGGGGGACTGTGTGTGTGGTACAGGTGAGCAGGAGTGTGTGAACCTGGCGGAGTG